CTAGCGGCATTCTCAGTGACAGATCAACCATGGAGTGAGATAGATAGTCCCAAAATTAGGACTTGTTGTTAATGAACACTTATTAAAATAAAACTTGCATACAGTTGTGGAATTGAAATAGAAACATATACAGTAAAAAACTAAACATTCATTTTTCTCCCCTGCTCCCCCACTACCATCCATGTCTTAAGGAATTTTATTTCTCTCTGAAACCCTATTAGGCATACGTATTTATAAGATATCCAAGAAAACTGTGATTCTTCAATTAATGTTTCCAGGACCAGAAAGGAAATAATAGAGCCAGTACACCAAAAAGAAAAGAAAAAAAAGGAAAAAAAAGTTACTTTTTTTTTAAACTGGTGTAATATCTGTATCATTTGATCTGTATCTGCACTAAAGGTAGGTGTAGAACATCACCCTGAAGGTATCACTTGCTGTCAGTGGAACATGATTGTCAGCCTTGACAGGTATCCTCTGGTGATGTTATAAAGCATGTGTAGCTTATTTTAAGCAAAGCTGTCCATACTTTTGTCTTGTCTTGTTGGAATATTCCTACTTTCTCCCTGGTGTCTGTCACTTTTTTGTCATCCTTAAGCTGAGAAATATCTTGTAAAATCTTGTTAGCTGTTTTCAGTTTCTTTTTTCCTCTTGCTAACTTCTAAAAGCCATTACATCTGCCTTAAAAGACGCATGACATTTTTACTGATACAAAATGAGGGAAAAAAAAACCCCAAAACCCCACCATATTTTGGATATGGTTCATAAAGTCCATTTATGGCAAACTTTGCACTTTAGGTGCTGTGTATTTTCTATACTTTTAAGCCCCAAATCCTGCAAAAACTGCCCGTGATTTGTTCTTTGACTTTCTATGGAACTACTTAATTGCCAAGCTTAAATGCATGCTTCAGTTCTTGAAGGGTCCAAGTCCAAGTCTCTTCTCAAAAGCTTGCTGGTGGGATGCCTGCCAGCACTCAGGGTCCCTGAGAGAGAGAGAAGGAGCTGGTGTTTTTGCTTGCTTCTGCCTGCCAGCGTCCTGTGTCCTGTACAAAACAAGCAACTAACACACTATTGATGATGTGTTGAGGGGGAAAGAAAACCAGATAAATAAATAGAATCTGAAGAGTCCGTTGAATGGATTCCATTGATGTTTTGCCATTCAACAAGGAAATAATGGCAGTAAAACCTGCGCTGTCTTGTAATCATACGTGTGTTCACTTGACCATGGAGTGTGTTGTCTAAGTAGTTATGTTATGGCTTGCCAAAATGTTCCTATACAAAAAAAAACAAAAAAACAAAAAAACAAAAAAAAAAGACACCCCCCCCCCCAAAAAAAAACCCAACCCAAACCAAAAAAAGAATTAGAGTGCCCATTTAAACTGTGTTTTGCATTTGACTGGATTTTTTTTTGTGACATCTCTCGTAATTATATGATTGTATGTGAAAATATCAACAATTCTAACAGAAACACTCATGAAGAGTGGGGGTATTAATCTGGAAGACGAAGCAATCCAAAGGAAAACAAGTTCATCACACTGTGTCAGCATGCATTTTTATAAAAGGAAAAGTGCCATGCAATGTAGTAGAGAATTAGAATATTTTTCTTTATGGCAGTCTTGTATTTGGCTGAGAAGAGGCATCAGCAAAAAAAAATGAACACCAAAGAAAGTCTCTGGAATAAGCAAAAACGGGGGAAAAGGGTTTGGAAGCTCAGAAATATTAAAGAATAGGGACTGTTCATGTTATGAATGACTCCTATTTTATAGGAAAGAGAGGGCGTAGAGGATAGAGTACGTAGCTTGGCATATTTAAGGTGTGAGGGCTTCCGTGCAGTGCTGTAGTGGTAAATGTCCTGGTATTCGCTGGGATAGAGTGCTACTTAGTTGCCATCTGGGGTTAAACCATGTCAGTGAAGTTCGAAGTCAGTCTGTGGCCTCAGTCCTTCCATCAGTGGGGTTAAATTCTAAGGATTTTTGTTGTTGACTGTTAGAAAGATTCACTCTGAAGTGGAAGCAAAGAGCAACTGTGTCTTTCTCTAGTAAATGGTGCATGTATAACAGCCAGGATCTGGCTTACTCTGTGTCTTGGATCTCCTAAATGCTTGTTCAGGTGATGGGGTAATGACCTGTCTTGTTAAAAGCCTCTCTAACAGCAGAACTGCTGCTTCAGGGTGGCGACTAGGCTAAAATGGTTCACAATTCAAGAAAACAACCTAATGAACATCACCTCAATTCCTGAAGCTGAACGTATGTTTCTATTTTAGCACTCACGTGCAGTAAGCTTTGGTTAATTCAGTTTTAATTTATTTGAAAGGTAACTGGGTGCTCAGTACCTGGCCTTCATGCATAGAAAACAACTATTTGTCAGCTGGGTCATAGTAAAGTGACATAATGTACTGAGAGCCCTTTTGGGGCTTGAAAGGTGACTGGTGCTTGGGGTCTGTTGCCTTGCCAAGCTCAGCGTAGAGCATAGGCAGGGCCTCAGGGGTGATGGAGAACATGGAGAATACACTGTGGGATCACTGAAGTCCTGTAGAGTTTTTTCTTGCTTTTCTTTCAAAGGGCAGCAGGCAGAGAGGTGCCAGCTACAGGCAGTGCTGTTGTTGAAGTAGCACTGAGACTTCAGCTGTGCTCTGCTAAGGAGGATCACGGAGCACTCTTCAAATACTCATCTTACTTAGGTCTGACTATAGGCAGAAACCATATGCTTAGCTTGCCGAGGTGAGTCACTGCTAAGGCCTGGAGTAGCTGTCTCCCTGTTCTAGTGCATTTATCCTGCTCAGAAATAGGCCACATACTTTATTGGCTACAGTGATTTAACAAAATTGTGAGACTTAACAAATCTCTGCTACTCACAGGAGCTGAAGTTCCTACTCAAATAGCAGCTCAACTACTTTGTTGATTTGTGTCCAAAAATACCCCAAACAAAAGCAAATGATGGGTCAGCACTTTATGAAGAGAGACAGATGGGGAGCAATGTGGTATCTGGCGGAGGTCATGGTGGGATAGAAACTGTTTCAAAACTTGCATTTTGTGATACTGGGTTGCAGCTTGATTTTCCACACTTCAGTGTTCTTCTCAAGCCAAGGTTTTCGTTTCTGTGTATTTGGATCTGCTTTGCAAATCACAGATAACGATTTAGGTGAAATGGTACATGATTGATTATATGCTGTATAATACTTGGTGAAAAGATGGAAGCTGGTTACAGAAAATGAACAGAAGAGCAGGTGCCATGAAACCGGAGTTTAAATAACCAGATAGAAGTGTTGTGATGGGGACAGCAAAGGGTGGGGCTTAATGGCAAGATGCTACAGAGTTACAGGGTATCTTTAACTGGTGGGAGCCAGGTACTGCTGATGAGCAGGGAGGAACTAACAAAATCTAATACACACTGATGAAATTGCCGCTTCTAAAAGTAGGCTAAAATTTCTGAACCTGCTTTCTCCCAGATTAAGTTGTTTCCTCTAGCAAGCAATGCCTGAAGGTCCTTCAGCTTTCTGTGCTATTGGGATCTGCAGGGGAAGCAGCTGCTTACGCACATTTCTGCTGCGAACAAGGACATGTTGAGTGAGTTAACCAACAAGAAACACACGTGGAAGAAATCAGCCAAATCGGAATTAGTGATTGCTAAATGGGTGGGATGCATAGGAGCATAGCCAGAGCTGTACAGGCTGTAGCTGCTGTGTGAGGTGGTTCTCGTGAGACATTCAGCCCAACTCTGGCACCAGGGCTCTGTGTAAGTGCAGGTGTCACAGTTTTCTCTTCTGCCGCTGTAGGCTCTAGCAGGCATCTTACAGAAAGCAGCATCCTGAAATGCGATGTGGCTTTGCACCTACAAGGCTCAACCTCTTTACATGCACTTCTCAGTCAACAACAGAGTTGCTTTGCCTATGGGACCAGCTTCTTTATCCTGCTGGCAAGAAGCCCCTGTGAGACTTAATCAATTTCTGTCAGCTTTGTAAAGATCTAGCTGGCTAACCACTGTCCAGGTTCAGCTTGTTTTGATGTTTGTGTTGCTTTCGCGGAAAGCCAGCCATGCTCCTGTCAAGATTATCATTGATGTTACACAGTGTAAACAGAAGGTCATGAGGGACCAGACTGTGTGCCAGCAGCACTTGCTGGCTGTGGGCTTCAGTACTCAGATGTGATGTACTGGTTTTACTTACTTACATATTTGTTTGCCCCTTACTTGGGTAGGAGATTTCTTAAACTATCCCGTAAACTGGTAGTTAATGTCTGTTAAGCATGTATTTTTACTGAGAGGTAATTGTGACATACTATTTTAGATAAGGACACACACAGACACACAAGATAGGTGCATAGGTAAATACAATTTACCTTCTGATGCACTTGATTCAGCGGATGCTTTTGTTTGCTGTGCAAGGGCTCTTGTCGGTGGGTATTTTGGAAGTGTCAGGGTAACTACTTCTGGTTGTTTGCTTCAAATTCATGTATTTAAATTCACTTCTCTTGGGCAGGGAGTCAGATGTCCCTATTGCACCTTTTAATGGCACTTGGGAAACCCTAGCTCATAGTGTCATGGGGTTCTACATCAACACTGCTATATATAAGTGCATGATTACCAGATGAGTGGCTGGCAATATGTTCTACTGCTAAAAAAGAGAGATATCCTGATGTTTTCAGTGGCAAAACATTAAAAACTACAGTGGACATAGGTGTGGGAGAGCTGTGGAGTTTCTCACTCACTTAACTAGTGAAGCATGAGGGCTTTTCTGCTATCCTTCAGACAGGAGCCCATTTGTGAGCTGGAATGGCTAGTGTCTTTGCTTCATGCTCTTTAATTGTATGCTGCTAGTTAATTGAGGCACTAGGTGGAAATGTTAAGATTGGAAAAGGTAGATCCATGCTGTTGTTGATAATTGGAATAAATATCTAGTATCTCATCTGAGAGTCTTGCAGTAATGCCTCATGTATTTGTCACTGGTTTGTTAAGTATCTACATGATGGTCTTTTGTGTCTGTTTTTGCACGACAGGTCACAGTAATGAAAGGCAGTAGTAGGAATAAGGATCATTCGACAGAAGGGGAAGGAACTGGGAAGCGACCAAAAAGAAAGTGTCTTCAGTGGCATCCCCTGCTTGCCAAAAAACTCCTTGACTTCTCTGAAGAGGAAGAAGAAGAGGAAGAGGACGAAGATATTGATAAGGTAGAGTTTCTTGGATGCTTTGCCCAGAAAAGGTTAATGGTGGGTCATATTCTCCCTGGCTGTGTTTTTATTTGTTTGCTTCTTGCTGTTCTTTTTTATGAAGAAGCATAGCAAATAAAAAGAGGTGAAGCTGTGCTAAGAAAGGCTATAAAAGCAAGTAGTAAATAACACAAAAAAAGTGAATTCAGAAGCTTGACAAAAACTCTTCTCAATTTTTTAATTATTATTTTTAAGATTAAAAAAATACAAAAATTAAAAGGTGAAAAGAAGGAAAAGGCTGTCAGGAGTTTTTGTTATCTTTGCATGTGAAAGTCAACTTACCCTCCAGAATGTTGAGAGCACAAGTGGAATAATCTGTCTCTGGTTTTAACACTTGGTATTTTGTAATTTTTCAGTGATGCTGGCCTTGCCCTTTTGTCGTAAGGACCCCACAGTGTAGCACCTCACAAATGTACAGTTAACTCATCCTCTGCAACAAGAAGTGAGAATAGGTTATGGAGATGTCATGTTTACATCATGTGGGTAACATTCATATCTGTATCTCCTTGATGCCTTCCTAAAGCAGTATGGGAGAGGACAATGTTGAGGAGACTGCCTTGAGCTGATAAGGAAGAGTGACCTTGACAAGGATAAGGAGGAGCCTGATCCTCTGACAGTGCTTTCTGTTAATCTTAGAGGTCACTTTCACAATGTGGTATAAAATAGCAGTGTTGTACTTAAGTAGATGGTTTTCTGTTTCAGACAGTAATCTGTTTTGTTCAGTCAGAACTAGATGTCTCTGGTGCATCCCTTGTAGGAATGATATGCTGTCCTATAAGTGGAGAGAATGTATTTTGGAAGTATTTTCTGTTGAGAGATTTACCCTCTGGCTGGGCAGCTGGGCAGTGTCTGCACTCAGACTGCTCACAGGCTGAGTTTTGACTGGCAGGAGGCGGGGAAACAACTGTTACCTGTGCATTTTCCTTTCTACACACTCTGTACTTGCAAACACATATGATCAAGGTCCAAGGCAGCCCTTCTCCCTCTAGCCCCTTCAGGGCTGTTAGTAGAGAATGGTCCTCAGCTTAGAAATCTGCTTCACTTGCAAGTCAGAGTTTAAATCTTGCAGACAACATGAATAAACCTTGGACCATCAGGTGAGGAGGTTTGGTGTAGAACTCTGGGTCTTCCGAACAGAATGGATGGCCTTTGGAGACAGGTGTGTCTGTCACGCATCCATGTGCATCTCCCTTGTTCACACACAGACTCTCAGTCTCCATGGGAAGCATGGATAACTGGATTTACACCCATTCTCTTTTGGTTCTGCTAGGTGCCACTCCTCGGCGCTGACAGTTTAGAGCAGGATGCTGATGAAACCGAAGATGAGGAGTCAGAGCAGCGAGCTCGCCGACCAATGAATGCATTTCTCTTGTTCTGCAAGCGCCATCGCTCCCTCGTGCGAAAAGAACACCCTCGCCTTGATAATCGTGGCGCAACCAAGATCTTGGCAGATTGGTGGGCTGTTCTAGATCCAAAAGAAAAGCAGAAATACACTGACATGGCCAAGGAGGTATGTTCTGTCTGAATGGTAGATGTAACGGGAGTTCGTTACATATTTGTCTTACATTTCTCTGTGTATTAAATGTTTTCTATGGAGGCTTTCTCTTCCCTGAGTTTCTCATCTTCCCCAGTGGAATTATGGTGCCCAGAGAAGCTGCTATTCTTGCTTTGATTCACTTGGTCCTTTGGACCAAAATGGAAGGAAGTTGGTCTGTGTACACGAACTAACCTAGCTTTAGTAGTCATCGGTACAAATAAGGTACAAATGTTGGTACATACGCACTTTGTGACAGATACCATCTAGTAATTCCTGTGGTACAAGCATTAACGCATGGATAGTGGCTGTTGAAAACAATAACATACAGTTCGGTATTAGCTGATTAGTGGTACTTGGCTCAAGCTGTGCTTCTGCTATCAGTAATACAGGTTGCTATTATAATACAGTCGGACCAAATCAAAAGCGTAGTCAGCAGATACTGACCTTTGTACCTTTGATGCTAAAGAATTAAAAAACGATTAGTGTTTTATGAAGTTTCATTAGTCTCTCCCTATGTATAGTTAAACAGTTTCTGATAGAAAACATTTGATGAGGCAGAGTCCAATACCCAAATCAGAGAGCAGCACATAACCAGAGTCCCTTAACTGGGAGCAAGGAAAGGAGATTCTCCGCCCATATTTCAAAAACTATATTTATGTCAGTTTGAAATTTTTAATGAGGCTTTTTAAGAAATAGCTTGCTTGGCTAAGCTGACCCCAAGAAGGCTGCAGATGTCATTAGCAGAGTGGGAGAGACACTTAGGTTGATAACAGTTTCTTAGGTTGATAACAGTTTCTTAGGTTGATAACATCACCCCAAAAGAGATCCCCGTAATTACCTATGTGATGTAGATTGTGGGTAACCATTGAGTTTGATCTTAGAAAAAATAACAGAGGGCCACTGAGAAGGAAGAACATCTATCTCCTCATTTGTCAAGTAATGCCAGCACACTACAAGAAGTGCAGATAGCTGAGAAATGATTGGGGAAACTATTATCCATACCTGCCCTGTCACCTGAAGTTGTTTGCCAACGTTCGCACAAGTGTATAAGTCCTGGCTGTTCAGTAGTTCGTGTGAGCATGGAAAAGTCCACAGGAAAAACAACGTGTTCTGCATGGCAGGTTCTTTTTGAAGCAGGGTTTGTACTTTGCAGCCTGTGGCACAGTGTCAGAATACTTAAGTCTCAGCTTTCTCCAACCGTTCTTGATTGGTTCTGCATTCCCACTTATAAATTAGCAATGCTTCTTGAAATGTGTGGGAAAAGAGCAATTGGGAGGTGCAGTACAGATATAGAGGAAGGAAAGATGAAAATGGAGAAATAATTTTTGGAAGAATCAAAACTGATGTGACGGAGTTCCTTAACCTTTTGTCTTGCTGAAGGAAACATTCATTAAGGAGAAAAATAATTGCAGAACTTCTGTATGAAATGACAGATGTGAAACTATTAATCATATTGTTGTAGAAATCATTATTCCTGTAGTGATTTATTTATTTTTCTTGGCATGAAGAACAAATTGCATATTCAACGTCAAAGTGAAACAATAAATCTAAGTAGTTTACATCATTACAACTAGTTCCAAGAATGTGTAGAAGAGAGATAGCTTATAATTTTTATTCTTTGAACAGTTGTATGTTTCAACAATAATTAGCAGCTATAATGTGCTATTATATATATTTGGGCCTTCTTTACCAACAGGCCTATTCTCTGTGTGTATATTGGTTGTTTTGTTTTAACACTCGCTTTTGTAGTTAGGTTTACTGCTGAGACTGTCAAAAAGATGTTAATGTCAATGCTAGTGCAAACCATTTATTGTTATTTTTCTTTTTCCTAAGGAGAGCTCATTTAAAAGTCAAGAAGGTGAATGCTTTTGGAAGGATATAAAATTACCATTGTACCAATAATGTTCTGTTAAAGTACCTATATGTATTACCTCATTGATGTTTAAAATATAGTGGATGAGCTTCTGTTACTTAAATGTAGCTATTGAGTGCCCTTTGCCTTCCAGTTTTCACTGCATAGCCTCTAGCCACTGCCCTGGCAGGGCACACATCTCCCAAAGGACCATGTGTCATATCTGCTACCCCCACAACATGTATGTACCCTGAGCATCTGAATTGCTCCTCCAGAAATACAAATGGCCCTGACAGAAGTGGTCCCTGCTACAGTGGCTACAACCCCTGCTGTTTTATAGTCTCAAGAATGCTTTTACTACTGAAGCCACAGCTTACAAAACCATTTAGTTTAGATCAAGCATCAAGCAAGAAGCTTTCAAGTTTCTTAACGTGCTTAGTACCAGCAGTGATTATCTCAGCAGTGTGCAAATCAAGGCATTTGTGTATTTACTTACATATGTCTAGCTGTATGTAAGATCTAGGATTTTGGAAGATTGTGAGGTACCCAAACTTTTTGCCAAGTGGAATTACGAGAAGTTTCCTAGTGATTTGGACATCTATCCCTGATGCCCACTAAGAGGATAATCAGGTCTATAGTTCCTTTAGGCACTCTAGGAAAATCCCATTATGTACCTGTCTGTACCTTGGGGCGCTTTAATTACCTAGAAAAACTGGCCCTGTGCTCCTTCTATTTTCAGTCTTGTGGCTTATGCTCTCTCATAGCAACACTTGCCCTGGAGACCTGATGCAGTGCCTCCAGAGCTCAGGGTCAGCTTCTGCTGGTGTTTGCTTTAGGAGCAGACTTTCTATTTGTATCCTGCAGACTTCCTAGATCAACTTCACTTTGAAAGTTTCATTATTTAGGGTATAAGCCCAGTAGCTGGTAAATACTCCAAGTGAAACCACAAGTGTTCCTGCCATTTGTTAGCATTTCCCTTCACTGAGGGGAAAATGAATTCTAGCTGCTCATTAATATGCTCCAGCATTTTTAGTTGCTGCAATAATAGGAGTAGTGTTCTTCTGTTAACTCTTACAGGGCTTACTGGGAATATACAGATGCCTTGGAAGATATCCAGTGAGATTATTATTGTTCAAGTCCTGTTTCCTTGCTAGAAAACACTTCATTTTTAAATACATCTTTGCATCGCCAAGACCCAAGCAGTCGGGACTGCTTTGTGTTGGGAGCAGCCTGATAAACCAAGGATACTGCTGTTCAGTGCTGTTCATAGGGGCACTATGTTCCCCACAGTGTTTGGCCAGTGGTTTCACAGGTAGTCAGCTGGACTGGCAGCTTGGTATCCTTGCTTTGGCAGCCCCTTTTGGGGTACAAGGTGGCAAATGTTCTGGCTTGCTGGCTGGAGTCTGGAAACTTCACTGAGTGTTGTATATACCACAACATGTAATGCGAACCCTGAGTCCTTCAAGAGTGAGAAACGAGTGTAGGATTATCTGGGGAATTCTTTTCTTTGTTAGATGTCTGGGATTCATGTGACATTTAATAGCCAGTTGGTGGGATTTAAGCATACATTTAAAGTTAAGCACGTGCTAGCTGCTGCCACGAGGTGTAGCTGCAATACGCTTGCGAGCTCCTGTTTCCACCTCACTGGAGAAAGCAAATCTTTTCTTTATGTGGTGATGAAGGCAACTCAGGGAGTTGCACTGAAGTGCAGCCCCTTTTTTAACCTCAGCTTCAAACTGGTCCTGCTGCATACCACATCTTCCCATAGGCTTTCACAAACCAGAGATGATACGTCAGACCAATCCTGCAGACACATCCTGTGCTTTTTTATCTTACTTGGAACTCTGGGACATGGCCCTGCTGGGCTGTCCCTGCCACTCGTGTGGGAACCAAGGTGGTGTCTTTGCATTGCAGGTTAAGGACTTTATCTTCTTTAGTGACTTTAGAGATGTCCTTAGTCTGGCTGTGCTGAGTTGGTTGAATGGAGGAAAACAGTAAGCTTTGCTATGGTCTTTGGCATTTTCTTATTACTGTGCAGCTCATTTAAGTTATCTTCTCATGACTTGGCAAACAGGATCTATCGCTTCATTTTGGGCCTTGGTCTAATAGTCACAGAAATCAATCCTGAAAGTCTTTCTGAGGTTTGGATCAGGCCCCTTTATGCATTTTGTAAAAGTACTTCTCGGTCATTGTTTCACTTCTTACATTTTCTTTTTTTTGTGTATCTTGCCTGTTGAAACAGTGAAAGTGGATGATGAGTTGTTCTCCCTCGGTGTTCTCCCTCCCCTTCAGAGACTACAGCTAGTGCTCACTGCTTGGCTTTGCAGGGGAAAAAATCCATTAATATACCAGCTCACTTGAATTGCTCTTGTTGGAAAGTGATTAAAAGCTTATTGCTGCCTTGTCTCGCAAATGGCATGCATTCTGGTTCTCATTTGATGGGCAGGCTGTCGGCTTGTCAAATTGCTCCATAGAATAATTCAATTACTCAAAACAGCAATGCTGATATGAAGAGCTTATGTACCTCATTGCTAGCAATTCTGTGCTTTTCACTCTGCAGGCTGGAAACATGATTTGTGAGTGGGATGTGGCTTTAACAATGGAAGGCAAAGCTGCTCTGCCGTGTATTTCCTTTCTGCTTCTTCCCTTACCCCCTCCCCTTCCCTTCCCTCTACCAGGCTATTTTTGTGGTGTACTGAGCTCCCAAACCAAACTGAGGGAAAGGGAAAAGGAATGAGGTGAGAGGTGTCACAGTCGCTAGTTTGCAGGTTTAATACATACACCCTATTCAGAAAACACAGCATGTATGTAGGTCAGCAGTCCCTGCAGATTTTTATTATTTATAGCCATTTCTATAAATACAGGACTTCACACAGCGGGTTCAAGCAGTGCTGTGCTTCTTGTAAACTGAAACATTTTTATCCTTGCTGCAGTCTGGAGTTAGCAAGTGCCAGCTAATAGATTAAGATGGAAATGAAAGTAAACAATATACATGCGATGGCGATCCTGCCACAAGGCATGCCGTATATTGATCTGGGAAACCACTGCAGTGACTCTCTATCAGAGAACAAGGTTTTCAGTGCTATTTCTGTATTTGATACCCAAGGGACTTTGTTTTCCCCCACTCTGCGTGTGTTTGTGTGCAGGCGTGTACACGAAACATAGGTGCTCCTCTCTGCCATAACTGGGACTGATGACAGCTGGGTGGGTGGGAACATGTGTAATCATGGAAGAAATTTCCTGCAGCTGCCCTGCCGTGTACTTCAGGATAAAACTGTTCTTTTGGTTGTTTGACGCCACTGAGAGCCACCTAGTGCCTGAGGAGGAGGTATTGGGTTCCTTCTCCCTGTGGTGAGCACTGGTACGCACTGGGTAGGCTCCCACAGCAGCCAGTGCTGTACACCCCTATCAATTGTTAGGCAAACATTTGCAGCTGGAATGCGTGGCATGTTCCTCTGATTCGCCCGTTCTCCACCTTGCATAGCAACACATTCAAAATACTGAAATGAGCTCTTTTTATTGCTGTGAACGCTCAAAAATCCTGGTTTGTCTGGTCAGCAAGACACTTGGAAAACATCACTGTTGAATTCTGTGAGTAAAACAGGTCCCCATCATTCTCCCTACACCTCAGAATGTGTAGGATCCAGACCTTTTTCCCCACCCCCCATGTGTAGTCTGGCTTTGTTCATTTTGCTGCCACATACCAAGGGTATAGCAAACAACTGATACTTGTGGTGTGTCTCAAGGCCAAACAAAATGTTAAATGGGCCCAGTTTATTTTATGCAGCCATGAAGCGTGGTACATTCTAGAAGGAACACTGGGATGATGTACTGGAAGTTACTGAAAATGAGATGGTGCTGATGAGTGGTTTATTTTTGGTGCCTGGTTTGCGAAAGCTTATACTCAAATATTCTAAAATACAGAACTGTTACAGAGAAATGAGTGCAAAGTAAGGAGCATCATGCTGAGTTTATTGCTAAATGTATGTTTTGATTTCATTCAAGCTAGAAAGTAAACAAAGATTGTACCTGCAAAAGAATTCAAATAGCTGTCTTTGTTTCTCCAAGAGCGAGCATACAAGGACTGGGGAGCAGTTTGCAGAATCAGAATTTCAGCCTGCTCTGGGTGATAAACCGTCAGGAGAGGAAAGAGAAAACCCACCTTCAAATACAGCTCTATTATCTTAATATTTCTTCTTACTAAATTTTGTTGCAGTCAGACTATAAGAATGTGATTAAACTGTTAAGATATTTAAGGATTATTTACTATATTCAGTCCTCTTACATGCAGTGCACTCTGTTGTCCTGTGAATAGTATAATGTCATGACTGGTAATTTTCCTTTTCTTTTCTAGTACAAGGATGCTTTTATGAAGGCAAATCCAGGGTACAAGTGGTGCCCCACTACAAACAAACCTGTAAAAACCCAGACATCCACTGTAACAAACAGGAAAAAGCTATGGGCCTTTGCATCAGATGCTACAAAAGACTTACCAAGCCCAAGGAAAGTGACAACAAAAAGTGAAGAAATGCCACAGCTTAACTTCGGGATGGCAGGTGAGATTTCCATCTGTGTTGCTTACGTATAGCATCCTCATTTTGTTTGAGGATGTGGCACTGGAATTGAATTGCAGTTTTCTTTACTGTACATGGTACTGTAGTACAAATACCTGTCATTTTCCAAATTAAGTTGCCAGGACTTTAGTTAAACCTCTGCACAACAGCTTTGTAAAGTTTTCCTCACTGCGTGGTTGCTTTCAAGAGTTGAAGGCAGATATGTGGCATCATAAACCATACCCCATTCGGGGTCCAGGTTTGATTCGGGTTTTTTTAATTCCAGTTTAGCTGCAGTTAGAGATTTTAATTTGCTAGTGGAAAAGGAAAATTCTGATTATTGTGAATTCTTTCACTTTCATAAAGCATTATACTATGTTTAGTAATTAATTTATGGTCACCTCTAAATTTGAAGGTATTGACATTCTTTTGGATGAATATACTGGTGGAGCTAGATTTTTGTATTTAAATGAAGAGAAGTATAATTTAATTTCACTGAAATTATGCTCTTCTGCCCATTATACCTTGGAGGTGAAAGGTGAAAGGCAGATAATCTGTCACCGATACACACAAATAGCAGAACTGTTGCAATTATGACCTTGAAATACAAAGACATTACTGTTAAGTATTGGCAGCTTCAGAACTTAACAGTCAAGATAGAAAATTATTTTTTCCCTACCATCCTTTTTCATTTTTTGTGGTTTAAGGTTTCTAATTTTAAAAATACTGGTGTATTTGAAACTTTGTTCTATCCTACCTTGTTCAAGACAAGTGTGTGGCAGATAGGGCTTTTATGCTTGGAGAGATTGTCAGCTGGAGAGTGGAAAATGGTTTTATGGAACAAGTGTAAAGGATAAAAAGGCATGTATACCTTTTTGCTAGTATAGTGGTATGAAAATTGCTGTAATGAAATTCCTTCTGGCTATGAAGAAACTGTGAAATGTGAGGAAAATAAAGTTTTTCATGCTACATGGTTATGATATATGGGAAGCCAGTTCTAAAAATTGCAAGCCCTATCATCCCGTTCTGCTTTTGCTATCAGAGGAGTAACTTCTGTGCTGCTTAAAAGTTTATTGACTTAACGTAAAGAACAAGCAACAGGTCATGGTCTACCTCTCTGACATTCCCCAGCGCTCTTGCTCGACTATCCATATGTAGAGTTTCTGAGTAAAAAGAGATCTTGAAACATCATCTGTCAGGGTAGAGGACAGAGAACTTTAATTAGGAACTACTCTAATCTGTTACATCTATAGAGCCATGCCCTTCTGAATGAAAAAGGCTCTTTCGTGCTATGTGTGACTTTTTTTAAGTTTCTTTTTATTTATTTTTTTTTTACTACAGACTGAGTAATGAGTATAGTAATTCATAGGGATCTCACTCCAGTCCTCAAGCCACTGAAGACTGGCTATTTCTCAAGTGTAGCAATAGCTCATAAAATAATAACAGCTTCTGACAGAGATGTCAGCAGCATCCTAATCATGACAAGTCTGCCATGGATTACTGTTTTATCAACTATATACTAGTTTGTGCTAAATACGTTTTATTGTGGTGTTCTCTCCTTGACTTCTTGTCATAGTTCAGTTCAACTCTGACTCTTGTATCTGGCCCAACCTCTTTTAAAATCTAGGCTGTATACTAGCTAATGAACTAAAATGTATCTGAACCATCTCAGAAACAATTTTACCATTGAAATGCCACTGGCTATCTTGCATTTTCATGGCAGATAGCTTACTAGGACAGGGATTCTAGGATTCTGAAATCACTCCAGGAAATCTGTTTTACTTATTGGTAGTTGTTAATGCTGTCTTGATTGCTTTTTACATATTACATTTCATTTTGGAAAATGTAATATGCAGAGAGTAACATCTTCTTTTCTTAAGTCCCAGACAGGCCATACCTCTTCTTTATTTTTGGCATTCCAACAATAACCACCCCACTTTTAAGTCTCTTGTGTTTACCTATCATTGTGTCAAGAAACTGAGGTGTGCCACCAGCATTGGGCTTCTGACCTGTAGACCCAGTAGCGGTGTCCTTGTTCATCCAGCCTGGAAGCTGGAATTCAACGTGTTTTTCTCATGGTGTGGCTCACCTGTGATCTGTTGTAGGGTGTAGGGTAAAGGCAACTGCTGTTCACAAGTGAACATGACCATTGCAGCATCTGCCCTCACGACTACAGAGCTAAGTGAGCAACAGCTTTGCTGTACAAATGTGCAAGTCTCCTAGTACTTTCACATATCTACATCAGGAGAAAACCATCTGAGCCAAAAAGCTTTTTAATGAAGCAAAGGGTGGAAAGAAGACACTTCCTAGAGTAGGCAATATCCTGATAGAAATGCAGTTTTTCTTTTTACAAGGAAGCTTATTTTTGCACCCACGTACAAGTTAGCTGAAACTGGGACCTGCCAGCCTTCTTCCTGCTTAGCTCTTCCTCAGTTCTTTCTTTCCCATGACTGAAAAATTGCAGTGATGAACAAGTCAGCCTGCTGAGCACTTACCCAGACCAATACTAACAAAGTACATCGTTCCCAAATAGTGAGATGGTTTTAAGTTTCATCAGTATTAAAGGCTATTGATAGAGTCATGAATTGCCTCCCATTCTGCAAGTCAGATGTGTGTGCGTGTGCTATTTTCTCACTGCTGTTGATTTACCTGTAAATTGCTTCGTACCAGTAAGTTCTTAGTGCCATACAAGAAACACTGTTGTGCTGTGAAGGCACCATAAACATACGGCAGTGTTTGCATATGTACATTTTGTCTTCCCTTGGATGAAGTTATTTTGTAATTTTTGTTTTTATCATGATGAGACATCTAAGCACCAGCCCTCTGCTACAGCTGCAGCATAAGTATTCAAGTTGTCTAAGCACCAAATTAAACTTTCACTTTCCACTTAACTGTCATTTTTTTCCTTCCTCTTAATTTTTATATTTAAATAAACAGTTTAAGTATTTGATTACTTTTGGGGATGGGGGTGGAAAGAAGCCCTCTCCTGTTCTTATTTGATTACTTGAAAGGCAGAAAGCTGAAACCACGAAGAATATAGAATTTAGAAGAGGGGAAAGAATTTGAGAGTCATAAGCTGCATGTTCTCCAGTTGGCCAAAACTGAGGAGGGGGAAAAAGACCCACAGGTGACTAAAGAGAAGCACAGGAAAACAGCTGGGAGCCATCAGTGTGATGTGGGATAAGAAAGTGCTGCACTGCAGGATGTCAGGCAAAGTGTTTTCAGGAACTGTCGCGAGGAGTTAATGCCAGTGAACAGAGCACAGCTCATATGATGTGGTTGACCTCTGCCTGAAACAGCTGGAGATGGAGAGGACAGCTACAGGGATTGCTGGGACAGTGTGAGGTGGACATGCTAGATTACATCAGGAGATCTTGATTCGCTTAGGGTAGGAAAGCAAGTGGAAGGAGGGTGACTACTGTAAATGCAGAAGAGGGGAAATACCATTTAGGGAGAACAGTTACTTAATCTCAAAAATTATGATGGGCTTGGAGATCTCTTCCTATCTCTCCTTCCTCGAAATTAGCTGCCTGCTCAGGCATCGTCTTTCAAAATCCATGTTCACTTGTTACTTCTTAAATGTTCTGATGTCCTCTCGCTTGAAAGACAGAATGATTTCTGATGAAGTATTTTGATGGCAAAAAGCGCTGTGCTGACAGGATCACTTAGAATTGTACTTACATACTTGCTGGCCCTTTCCATTTTCTGTCTCCGTTTCTCCAACCATTTCTTGTTACTAGATCCTATGCTTCTGATAGTGTCTTGTCTCTTTGTAGAAACTTAGTATCTTTTCCCTTTTTTACTTAAAAGTACAAAATTAAAAAAAAAAACAAACTTCACAAAACTACAAAAAAAAAACCCCAAACCTTCTAACTCTTTTTTTTGGTAAAGCTAAAAATTAGTTCCAGTTGAACACTGAGGTTCAAGCCAAATGCAGTTTGGGCTGTATTCTTCACATAATGAGCCACTCTTCTGTCCTGGAGATAGTGGATGAACCTGGTTTATTCACATTGCTTTCCTCTGCTTCTATTTACTGCTGTCTTAAGAGAACATTGAAAAAAGTTACCCTGTGAATGTCAGTGAGAGATGCTGCCTGAGGGAGAACTTCTGGCAGCAAGTGTGGTATTGAATTAAATAGCACCAGTGGGTATTCTTATGAATTGGATCTTGATCATCTGTAGCACTAAATCCTTTGGAGATTTACAGGTACAGATTTGGCCCATGTCACCTGAAAAGTTCAACAAATTCCTCAGCTCTGCACATGAGTGGGAATGGGCCAGGGGATTTCCTGGTGGGCATTTTGGTTGCAACTGTTCTGCATCCAAACTTGACGTAACAAAATGCAACCAAATGAATAAGGGTAATTGTGCCGGTTGGCCTCTGTTCTAGGAAATGGTCCTGGGCACATGTAAGTTACTGTTGTAGAGACAGTTTTTGTATAGTTTGGTGAAAGGAGATTGGAAAATGTGAGTACGCAGTTAGTCAAACCTGAGGAAAGTTACTTATCTTTGATGTCTCATCAATACTGAGGTTTGTGTCTCAGCAAGACAAGGATAATGCTTCTCTTTCTCTAACGTTGTGGTTGTTGTGTGAGACATTTGGGCCACAGGCACTCTCCCTCTCTCTGAACGACACTCTTTAAAACTGGGACCCTGCATTGCTTCCAGGGCACTCCCCCAACTCAGACAATCTTCATAATGATGAAGAACAACCGCTGTTCTGCGTGGAAAAGCCACTCCATGAGTAATGCAGTGCCAGTGTTCGTTGCTTTCACTTCTTCTTGTTGTTTTCCAAGCTCCTGAGGTGCAGGAAGGCTGGAGGCGAGAAGCTGTCAGCATCAAATACTTGGAGAAAGAACATTTCTATCTCCATTTTACTTTCCTCAATTATATATTGTATTGGCAGGGCAACAAGTAGGCAGGCAGCTTGCCTGGCCAGGGCCTGCACTGTTCTGGCACAGAGGATCAAGTACTTCATGCTTCAGAGCTGTCAGGCTGGCACTCTTCACCACTAAATGCAGCTCTAAATTAAAGCTAAATGAAAATAGAAATTTTGCTTCAGAGCTTGATCATGTCAGTTTGTTCCATCCTTTTATTTGTTCTGTGGCTAAGGAAGGGGGAACCACAGTAGGAGCATCCATTGAGTTATAAACACGTGCGATATTAGAGCATCTTTGTGTATATTTATGTATGAGATCATTACGGTTGCTGTTTTAAAGATATCCATCTCTGTAGTACATAAAACCTTTGGCAGTAAAATTGTAAATCCACGCAATGGGGTGTTATGCACACAAATCCAATTAAATCCTTCAAACAGCTTTGAAAGCCTCTCCCAGAGGGTACAGAAATGGTTATTTGTGATTCTCTTGAACTGCCTTTTATGGCAGCTTGCTTAGAGTGTCTGTGACAAGTAGTCTTCTGGGGGTTTAATGCTGCAAATGGTACATTCTTTAAACAAGCAAATGAATAAACTGAAGACTTGGTTTTACTCTTTTTAACAGATCCTACACAAATGGGAGGTCTGAGTATGCTGCTTCTAGCCGGGGAACATGCCCTGACTGCACAAGAGGTAAGGAACTCCCTTCTCTTCCTTCTGCTCTCCCTCAGTTTAAAGAGAGCTCTGAAGAGGAGTATTTGACCAGTGGGAAATGAAATCTAATATTCATCTTGGGTTAACCTCGGGTTGGACTGATGTGTGAGCCCTATGATACAAGTCTTGTGTCCCAGCTGTGAACGTAGAGGCTGGGCCCAGTTTTTGTATCTGCTCAATGTTAATTCTGCTGACTGAATATTTGATCAGACAAGGCAAGTCTTCCCCATGAGAGGATATTGTCACAGGTAGAAAGGTTGAAATACAATGACTGTTAACAAACAGCGGGTTTGAAGCTCTTTTGGCAAGGATTTCATATGCTTGTGCAGCACCTCACACAACTGTATCCTTGGCACTGATAGCTAAATAAATACCTAATAATTTCTGTACAGTCAGTGTCATTGTATATGCATTCTGAAAACCATGCAAGTGCTAACAGGCAGTCAAAGTATTGCAATCTACTCCCTATTTGCTATCACAAATGTTTTGTTTTTAAGAAGGAGTCAAGTAAAAGTGTACCTGTATATATCCAATAGAGCAGTCTTTCTTTAGACTAACTATTATTTAGGATCTATTTTTTGGGCCAGCTTTGAAAATTGTTCAAAAGGTGGCTTGTATGTTGGGTAAAATAAGTAGTCACTGCCATGAATCTCTAGCCTGGGAAGGAGCAGCGGAAGTGTGAGGAGGTTTTCTTTTCCCTTTTTTTGTTGTTACTGGGAGGGCAAGCAATAATTAACTACCTATATGTGATACCTCCAAATGTAAAATGAGTATTGCATTTGAGATGGATTGCTCCTGTCCTGTCAAGACTGAGCCAACACCGCTCAATGCTTGGCACACCAGTTTGAGCAGTTCAGGTCTTCGTGCAGAGGTAGGTACTGGCTTACTGTGCTGTACCATGAGCAGTGAGAAACACTAGGGTAAGGTCGGCAGAGAAGTATGTTTTGTGTTAAAATGGCAGTGTCCTGTAGCTTTCAAACTTTGAATCTCTTTACTTGGAATTTAAAAACTGTTGTTACTATGCTGTTTTGTTTAAATGAGAGGGAAGGTGTATTGTAGTCACAGGTACTCAGTTCCATTAAGAAGGGTTTTTGCTATGATTTTGTGAGTTGAGCTTTCTTGATTTTTACATGAAAAGTGCTTCAAGTAGTATGATTTCAGATGCCAGTGAAGGAATGAAATCTACATATGGATTTAGAGACAAATAAAAACAGATGTTTTGTGATTGGTTTAGTATACGAACAGGTTTTTTAATTCGAACTTTCTTTTTTTTGAGCAAAAGACACATTTCCCATGTGCCTACATAAGCCCCACTTTTTTCTGATACAAGCATGCAGTCTGGCTTGTCGTGTAATATTTATGTGTAAGCTATACTATGCTGTGCTTTTCTGGACCTGTAGTCTTCCTTTGAAACCTGGTCCTCCACATTAAAGAGGCAAGCTGTTTAATCTGCTTTTCCCAAAATGTAAAGCAAAATGATTGTCATAAATACAGCCTGAACAAAACCAGTGGAGGGCTTTGGCTGTTGTTAGAATCATGGTGGGCCAGAAATTGGCCTGTACTTACTCATGAGTTACCGTATTTTAGTTGTCCTGTGGTCTCTGAGAAGCAGGTGTAAGAGCACTTTCACAGGAAATAAAACTGCACATCTTTAATACTTTCAGAGGGTCCCCTATGTAAAATACATCCTCTGGAACAATCTTTGTGCTTGGTATTCTCAAAGGGGCCCAAAAAGTTCAGTCCTCCTAACTCCAGCTACGCTTCTGTGCACTGAGAAGCTTCCTCAGTTTCTTTGTGTGGCAGCCCTGGTGTGTCTTCTGTTTTCCTTCGTTTCCTTTTGATTCAGTGTTTCAGTGCTGATTAGATAGGTAGCAAATATTTCTTAGGCTTGTGTTTCCCCAAACGCAGTAAGGATCCTAAACATGTTTAGACCTGGATAACAGAAAAGCACTTCTGACTTCCCATCCTGGGGCATGTGGACATAAGATGCTCATCTTTGCATGACCATGGGACAACGTATGGTTGGGTTTCCATGCTTATGCTTGAAAACAGTTTCACACTCAAACCAGCGTTTGGGAGGTTAGTGTAACATGCTAGGTAGTCGTATGACAGGCTCAGTAAGGAGATCAAGAATTCCCTGTAGAATTGGTAAGCTGCTTTCCTCTTCAGTGGAGCTGGGTTAGTTATGTTCTGTTGGATTTCATATTGACATGAGGGATAAGTTAGTGTACTTAGGTGACTGTTCAGGTATTGTCAGTGAGAAGGTTCAGAAGTTGCTTAACTATGGAAAACATAGGTATTGGGTTTATATGCATGTAAGTATATAAATATGTAATATATCTAAACCCCTGTCATTTCTGTTCAAAAAAGACAGATACAGTGTCATTTTAAAAAGAATATTGATATTGTAGTCTTCATTATCATTAACGCATGTCTGTACATGTAAGATACACATACTTATATGTATGGTTCTTAAACTGGGGGGCTGGCAGACATAAGATTACCTATCAACATACAGCTGACTGCTTGTGCGTATGTATGATTATGCAGACTTGGGTGGCCTTGTAAGCATAGGTCTTAAATGCCATTACCATCTTAAAAATCGTTACTAGAAAGGAGGGCAGCCCTGGCATAGTTTACTCAGAACTTGGGAGAAGATGAAGGAAATTATACTTAAGAGGTCTGCTAATCCCACATAAATATATTCAGTGTGCTCTGATTCTCTGTCAAGTGTGTGTTAAATGGATGTATAGGGACTTTTCAAGTCAGATGCTTAACCTTTGAGTTGTTGGAAGCCCAGATGTCCTGTAACCCAGCAGGAGGAGGAGTTCAGGCATGTATGGTCCTGCAGCAGGATGGGAAGAGGCACAACAGGGATATTTACAGAATTGCCTTGGGGCTTCAGTCACCGTCTCTGTACGTCACCCATTATGTTCCTATTTTTGTAATTTTTTTCAGTAAAGAGTTTTTCTCCGGGTAACAGAATTCAGTATTGATACATGATTGATTTCCAAGCAGCAGCTGGAGTTACTATGCAGATAGGCAAGAGAAGGTACAGACCAGCAGCAAACAAAGGACTTGGACCCAGACCCACCTGGCTTTTGGGTCCTTTCACCAGTTGCACAAGACTATGGTGTGTGTATATGAGCATATTTTGTTGAACACCCGAGCAGAAACGCCAGGCAGGTCGGCTCCAGGTACTGTCCTTGTGGTAGGCAAAGTTCCCACAGCAGGTTGATGCGCAGGAAGGCTGAAGCTGTGTTGAGGAGTGCTCCTTGTCTGCCCACTCGCCTTGTCCTTTACTCGCCTGTCGGGCCCTTTGCTTGCCTTACAGCAGCACCTAGTGGCCTGTCTGTAGGTTACTGCCCAGAAATCCTGGAATTCGTAGTGTAGTCCAAAACCTGGCTTTACTACCATTTTCCCCCCTTGCCGGTGCCTGGCACATCAAGACTGCGGTAAAGCCTCACATCATTCCATATGGAACGTGAGCCAGGGGCTGTCCTTCTCCTGCCTTTGACATGATTCGTTTTAGGGCAGGTAGCAGTAACCTGCAGGGAAGGGGAGGCTATGGAGGCGTTATCCTAATGGTTTCCTTCTGTCTGAGAACAAAAGGTTATCTTGCATGCAGTGCTGAGTGTATGCAAGGTGGTGTCGCCTGTAAATCAGAAGTGAAAAATCTCTTCAGTGCAGCAGAGGGTAAGCTCAGAGGATGAAGGAGGAGAAGAAATGAGATGTTGAGGACGTTTTATTACAGCAGGAAATGAGATGTACACAGTGGCACTCTCTGTGCATCCATTCCCTCCGGTAATTATTGTAATGCTTTGATTGGGTTCAGCCTAGCAAAGATTGGAAGTCCTGGAGATAAATTTTCCCGCAAGTGTGGGGAGCAGCCGAGTAGAAGAAAAAGGTCAAATTAGTGCTTCTGTCAATGAATGCAACAGCATTAACTTTTCAAAGATAACAGAAATTGATAGGAAAAGTATAGTTGTTCTAACCATAAAATCACCTCTCAGTTGCTGGGCACCAGCAATCTTTCTTTTACACACAAAGCTGTAAGAAACTGGCTTCACACCTTCCACAACTTGTGGTTCCTGTACCGCAAGGTGAGCAAGCTGTGCCTGACCCCAGCACATGGTCTCGGAGGCAGCAAGAAGGTTCATCCTCCCTCTCTGTGCCTGCCCAGGAGTGAGTGCCTCCCAGCACTTGTGTTGCAGGGACTGAGCCGTTGCAGCCCCTTTCAGGAGGGTTTTCCTGCTCCAGCACAGTGTTCCTGTCATGGCATGGGTCAGTGACTCCTCACTCGGAGCTTGTTTGTGCTGTGCCAGCTCGGGTGGGTGTTGACACGTGCATGGAGACGTGTCCCTAGATAGGCAGACTGGGAAGCTGTGAAGCCACAGTCCCATTATGATGAGTGGGCAGCGCCTGCCTCAGGGAGCAGAGAGGTTTCACACGGCTTCCTTCTTCACTCAGGGGCAACGTAGTGCCCCTTTGTACAGTGCATTGAATAGGCTCCACTTATGAACAGATTGCTTCAACGGACACCACAAACTAAGCTACATGAGGCAGCTGGTCAAACGACAGAAAACTTATGTGGGGAACCAAATCCCAAATTTGGTTATTTCTAGGAGAATCCCACCAGTGAACTGGCCTGAAATAACCAAGTGAACTCTCGGGTATACAATCCATATGTATTTCACACTAGTGCAGAGACTCAGACCTTCCGAGAAGGGTCACTCAACAGCAGCAAGATTGGTGTGCATCCCTGGTACAACCCACACCACTGCTGAGGCACAGGCATGTGAAAAGCTGTAATAAATATTACATCAGTGAATATAACACAAATCACTGAAAAAGGAAAAGACAAGCATGGTACACTGATAATACATCCTGCTTGGTGTTTAGTAAATATAATGGAAGCATAGCTCATAGGAGGCACTGTTACTGCTTGGGTTTATGGCAGGAAGAAGTAAGTTCAACTCTGTATGTAAGCAAATTGTTGTGTGGCATAGTTCCCCTTGGGAACTATACCCTGTTCTTGGCCTGTGGGTTGCTATGCTTGGATTTAGTGTTTTTCAGGGTAGTACAGGTAGCAGATTCCTGAAACAAAATGCCACTGGTACTATGGCAGTGCTTAAGCATCTTGGACAAACAGCAGCAGGAACAGCAGTACAAACTGCATGTGCTGTAGGCTTGCTTATTCTGTTGTGCTTTGTGCTTACCAGCACAGAGGTGGTTGCCAGCTAAATCTCACATATGCATTCAGTAGTAGATGCTGTTGACATACTTGTTCTGGTAATAAATAAGAGAAAAAACACATTTGCACCAAGATGTTGTAAGTAAACTGAAATTTTATGGAAAAAATACAAGTTGTTAAGGAACAAATTTCCATCCTTTTGCTTTTCCTAAAATCCCACAAAGCCTCATGTCCTCCTTCTGTTTCCGATCAGCCACATTACATACCTTATTTTATGCTAACACATGCTTCTAGGAGTTACACATGTAAATCTTTTATATTCAAATCTGTCATTTAATGAATGTATCATATTTGGTGCTATTCCTTTGCAGAATGATGCTCGAGTAGCAGATTTCTGGCTACTAAGAATAGTACAGCTAAGCTCTGTGTTAATTTGAATAAGGCTGTTGGTTTGGAACAATCGCATCTTTGTGTTTTAATTTCAGTAGTTATGAGTCTTTCTTCAACTGCTTCACATAAGCATCTTGAAATGGATGTTTAGGAACATTATTTGACAATTTTAGGCTTGTGGTACCCTTAACTACTTATTTTCATGCTGTTCAGTGATTGGGGATAAGCATTTCTGTCACTTAGCAACTCTCAGTGTCTTCGAAAACATTTTTTTAGCTTCTAAGTAATTTTCTTACTCAGAGTGGCATTACAGACATAGCAGTGTTGATTTCATCACCAATACTAGATAGCTGTGTAAGCCAGTATCAGTTTATTATTCTTCTGCAAAATTTGGAATTAGAAAAAAAAAATATCCCTGGTATTTTTGGGGTCCTTCTTCTTAGGTGATTTTCAAATGCATTCAAATGGGTGCTAAACTACATTTTCACCTATAAATTCAGATTAACCTATCCAGGACTGTGAAACATTAGATTGTCCATCTTCTCTTAAACACTGCTTCTTGTTACTGCTGCCTGGTATTTTGTTTGCTCACTGTTGTTCTTAGCTTGAAAGAAGTACCTTTGAGGTCTTACTCTTCGCACTCTTTGTTTTCAGGTTTCCTCAAGTACTTGCCAGTCTGATGCAACTAATTCTACAGAAGCCTGTCAGAAGTCATCATTGTTTCAGTTTGCAGAGGTGAGTTCCTTCTACAAGGGTTGTCTTCCCCAGTTTCCTTTTTAGAAGCATCTGATGATCAGCTGAAAGATAAGTCAGAAGTCATGCTTTTATTTGTTCCTTCTTCTTGGGTTTATGGTACTGGATCAGTTAATCAGGTATGTAGGTCAGATCTGAAGTTCAGGAGAGTGTATTTAAGAATTTAAGAACATGATGGAAACCCTAGTGTAATAATGGGGCTGTGGTTTAAGCAGTAGTTTAGAGATGTGGTGTTATTCCTGCACTTAGTTTTGAACTAGAACCTTACTAACTGAAGTTTTAACTTGTATATTTGGATGTTAGGTTATGTTCTTTATTGTGGCTGCTTTAGTTGTCAACTCCCTCAAAAATAACTGTAGTTCTGGAATTTCCAAAGTTTTCTTCTATGCTATAACCACCAAATAGCTCTATTCAACTATGCTTTAGCTTTTCAATGTGTAGTATTTTGTCAACATATTGAGCAATGTCATGCTTTGTATAGTTCCTCTTGATAACAGCCTGTTTAATCGATTGCACTGCTAAGGCCCTTAAAGAGCAAGATAAATACCAGCTCACTAAGTTGTTTCAGTTCATTTTACAGTGCCCAAGCAGGAACGTGCCAGAACCACGTGGTAGTAGACAGGAATTGTGTGCTACAAGATACATTCTTGCTGTAGGCTTGTGACCACTGGCTTTTCCTTACTCATTGAAGAACAGCTTCAGTGGGTGCCAGGAAACAAGCTCATCTGCGCTGCCAAAACAGGTGGTTTATAAATAGCTCACTGATGATCAGTAATTAGAAATGCATGTTAGCTAGTCTTACTTTTCAAGGATGTTAAGAAACCTGTAGGGAGGCTGCATCTAACCAGTACGTGGTAGGTATCTGTGGCAATGGCAAAATAATAGGTACTTGTACCAAGGTCTAACATTAATCAAAGGTGTCATTTGCAACAAAAATAATTGACACAAGTTAAACAGTATAAAATGCAGTTACCTGAGAAACTGGGATGGATCTCAAAGTACCTGCACTCGTTGTGTCCCTGTCCACACTTACCTTCTGTGCTAAGTAGCAATTTGTGCTTTATCAGCACCACCGTTCTGCAGTCTCAGGTCTTTCACTGAACTGTGAAATAAAATACAGTGTTAGGGTTCTGTTGTTAACCCGGTTTTGACATACCAGCGGGCACATAAAAGCCCTTCAGAAAAATCTTAGCATGTTCAATTGGCCCCAGGAAAGATTTTCTTCATGAAAAACAATTCAAGATCACCGTTTCACAGATCACCCATTTATGTGTCTCCTGGAAAACAGATACTGTTCTTTGTATGGGTGTGCATGCTCTTAGGTACCAGGAATCTTTCTGTATAACACATCAGAAATTTAGCACATTGAAGTTTTATACTGAAACAAAAAGAGTTAGGTAATATGAACATAACTGTTTTCCTGACAGATCTCTTCGAGCACATCACAGCCTGGAGTCCCAGGAGCTGTAAAACAAACTGAGGAGTCTGCACTGTTTCAGTTTGCTGAGGTATAATGGTGGAAATATGGGGTGGGGGGAATATGGGAGGAAGGAAGGAATGAGTAAGAGTTGTCACTGAATGGCTAAGCACTCTGTGTTATAAGGGATTAATTACCATTAGTAGATGTTTATCTTCACAACAGCATTGTGTTAAGAAAATCATGGGGGGTATAACCAGTGATTGGACAAGATGTTGACGAGTTCTACCAGCTGTAGCATGGACAAAAGATACTGGGCTTGTGAACATCATCACCTGGCCTTCCCTAGCAAAGGACCATTGCAAACATATTTTCCAAACGGCCTTTTAATTTACATCTAGGAAAATAACAAATAAAAGCCATTCTGAAACGACACCACTCACTGACTATGGAAGCAGCTGCAGCAGTGCAAAATGGTAACTGCCCTAGAGGCAGGAATCCTTTGAAAAATAAACCTGCAGGTCAAATGAAGCTTATCACGACAGCTACATGGATATATAATACCATGGTTAGCCTATAAATTACCCGTAAGTATGTAAGCTGTCCTTCTTCCTCTATGTGTGGAAGATGTGGAGTTCTTAAAGATTGCTTTTAATTAATATATTCCCCTGGGTGTTTAATGTGCCTCTATGAATTGACTTTCCAGACATATTCTCTTCTCGCCCATTTGGGGGAGTCTGGTACTGCTTTGCAGAATCGGTTGTGCTAAAGGTAATCTTCAGTGTGTTTCTGAAATGAAGGGATTGGAGCTGGTGCTGTTGTAGAGGAGCATAATGGGATGAAAAGATAGCCTGTTTGTTATTCTGTGTACATACAACACTCTTCTTTCTGTTAAATGTTAAGCTAATTACGTACTGTGTGTTTTCAGCTTGGCTAGGATGGGCCTTGATGTACTTGTTAGGAGGCCCAATTAAGAAAAAATAATTCAGGTGTCATAAAATACCTGACAACAAACACCCCTATACAAGATACGATAGAGTTAGTATCTCTAATCATGAAGATGTTTTCATATCTGCCCCCTTTTATTCAAGTTACAAGTCAATTTGTAAAGTTCTTCTGAGAAACTTAGTGGAATTGAGCAGGGTGGAGCCATGTGTTGAAGCCAACCTTTAAAACCAAGTAAAAGAAGTTGGAGAACACTTCCTGTGAATTTTATTGCAAAATATTGCATGAGTGAGACTGCTAACTTAGTTTCAAAAATGTTAGCCATCTTACATTGTAATTAAGCAGCAAGTTTAGGTATCTGCAGAGCTGAGCAGGGTATCAGTTTCCTTTAGTACACTATTTTCAAATTGTCATGTAAAACCTCATTGAGCTGCACTTCCAAAATTTCACAAAACTAAAATCTTTTCGTCTTCTACTAGAACAAACAACTAAATGGCAAAGCTGAAAATTGACATATGGATGTGACAGTGCATTGAGCTGCCTACCACTACACTGCCCCAGCTCATTTGGCACATTGGAGTTGCATGTATGAATCATCAAATGTTGGGTAGAAGAGGTGCTTAGAAAGTTAATTAGAAACTGGTGAGGACAGTTTTAAAGCCAGAGCTAATCTCTTTTTCTTGTAAAAGTATTAAAATGCATGTGCAGTCTTGGGGGGTAGTGGGTTTTTAGTTGTTTTTTCAGTGTCTGGAAGTAAGGGAGAGAAATGTGGAAAAGAAAAAAAAAGAGCATGCTACAGAACCTCTTTAAGCTTTCTTCCTCTGCTATTAAAGCTGCTTGTGCTCTTTCAAATATAAAGGGCCTTTACACAGGGTGTCTTTTGTCAAGTTTGGCAAAATTCCCGTTCCTTACTGTGGCACTTCTTACTGGGTCCTGTCTATATGAATGCATTACTGCATTTAGTAAGCTAAATTATGGTAAGCAATTTGCAGTAGACTGCTGTCAGCCATGTACAGTGCTACAAAAGAAAAAAGAGAAGGAGAGAAAGTAGCTATTTAGCCCGTAGCCAAGTAGACCTATGAAGAAATGTGAAGTGTGCTGTGGTCTGATGTGCCTGGAGCTTTTGGCAGCCATCCCAGCTCAGTTTTGGTTCTGGCTGGGTGTTCTTCGTATGTTCCCTTTCTCTTTACCGCCTTTGCAGCAGGGTGAGTAAGAGTGCCTCTTTGTGAAGACAGCAGTCCCATTGAGTAGGTTTGTCATTTAAAATGGACACCTTTACCCCAGCAGTACAAGTCCCCTGTCACTCAGAAACAGCTTGTTATACGTAGATGTAGCATGGAATTCTTTTTGTCTGTAAAGCCCCACTTAGCCTTTCACGTGGTTGTCTGTCCCAAATGCTATAGTCATCAATTCAAGCTGTTGAAGATATGGCTAATGAGGCCTGCCCAGTGGCTTGTCACAACAGATGATGACAATCCCAGGAGTAAGTCTTCGTTGAGTCCTGTGGGTGTGCAGGCAACATCTTGGAGGTCTTCAAAGACAACATGATGTCCCCGTAAGAGTTTTTTGAAGTCTAGAGTGTTGCCAAGTTGCACTCTTGGCTTTCTCATTCTGCTCTTGCAAATACTTGCTCCTACTTTTGTCCTTGTCCTTTGCACCTTTGTGGAAAGCCATTATATAGGCCAGTGATTTCTGAGCAGTGGGCTGTGTTCCTTGCTGTGGTGGCTGTTTGCAAGCTGTCTGCTCACATGGGCTGGTTGCTGTCATCCTCCTTGCCATGTGAGGGAAGCAGAGCAGATGGGACCCTTTGCTCTCTTGGTCTTACTGGATGTGTGTTTGGCAAACGCGAACAGATGGTGATGACTGCTTTGTTGAGAAGAAACAAGAGTACCTCTTAGATTTACTTAGCTAAACTCTCATTACTAAAGAAAAAAAATGTTTCCAAAGAGTGGAAGCAATAAATTGCTTTTTTAACCATCTTAAAAACAAAATGAAGCCAAAACCCCCAAACTCTTCTCTTTCAGCTGCTTTTCTGAAGTTTTTTTCTAGGTGATTTAATAAAAAAAAACCAAAAAACAAAAAACAAAAACCAAAAACAAATTACATGCAGCAAGGTAGAATTTTCTTTGCAAGTCCAACAGGTTACCACCATTTAAGAAAACTTCATGCCTGAGGATGATTTTATCCCTGCTGCATTCTCACATACTCACTTTGAGCGGGCTTTTGGGCAACTCTTTCTTTCTATTTCTGTGCTGAACAGAAGGTTCGAATTCCTGAAAACTTTTGGTCAAAATCCCTTGAAATTGGGAGCGTGGAAACTAGTCAGTATCTTCTCTTCCAGCCTTCCCTTAGGTAAAGCTGTAACCTTCCCAGGTAAAGCTGTTACGTAACATAGATGAATATATTTGCTATTTGTATGCTGAAATTATTAAATACCTGTGTTGAAGCAAAATGTCTATTCTAGGAGGGAGATGAAAAACTGGTACAATGGCACATGCTTCTTAGGCAAATTAGAATAATATAGTAGCTAAAATGCTGACCTGCATTGTAATAAAGGACAGTAACTTGGCCCTAACGGTCCCCAAGTTCAGCCTCCTCATGCAGAGGGTCTATTTGTGGTTGTAGTACTGCAGGTTCTGATTTTTCTAATTAAAACTAAAAGATGGTGGTAAGACAGGGAATGAGATCTGTATTCTGCCTGTGAGGTGATTGATTTGCCATCTTCTTCTTCTGAAGTTTGGCCAGCAGTCTCTGCAGAATGAGTTCTACATTTATGTCTCTTGCAGTTTGTTTTCTTCACTATGAAGAGAATTTTTATACTGAAGTGAAATGTTGGCTTCCTATTAAGTGTTACAAGAATCTTGCCTTGATTTTGCTAGGAGCACCCATTTTCTTGTCAAAATGAAATTCTTTACTCTTTCCTCACATGGTGCATCAGGAGGCAAAATATTCCTTCATGTTCTCAGGTTATACTTCAGTGTGTGGGTCTTTCTCTGTCCCTTTTCTACCGTTCATATTGCACTGAAAAAAATCATTAGAAGCTGAGAATTTATTACAGGAGAAGGATGAAAAGTTGAGGCCATCTTCCTGCAAAGTGCAGTGTACAAGATCACTTACTCCAGTGAGGTCCTGAGCAGGTTCACTGAACTGTCTCAAAGCATACAAGGATTTTGAGTTATTTAGTGGGTTTAATTTTAAAAATTATTATTAATGCATATCCAAGTATTAGTCACCATATTTTAAATAGTTTGCAGTGAAGTGGATGTCCTGGATTTTGGTGGGGGGTGCGGGTGTAATTAATCTCCTTGACAATTGAAAAGCAAACTCTCCAAATAATCTAGTTCAAAAGAAACACATTAAATATAAAGAGAAAGGCTAAGGTAGGCTAAGGTGGCAATTTTTGCATCTGAAAGATCATGGTCATAAGCATGATTTTTGTGATGAGGCAGATGCCATGGACACAGTGGTGGTCTTGCCCCTAACTTTAGGGCTTTTCAGGCCTTCCAGGTCAAATACTATCACGTAGCACCATGCCAAAAATGATCAGATATGTACAATAATGATTAATTCTTGCGCTGGTGAACTCATGCTGCACTTGGAAGCAGGTCAGAAAAAAGTGGACTGTAAAAGCAGTTCCCTGAAGTGCAGTGGTAGTAATTCACTCAGCGCTGGTGGTGGCACACCAACATCTATGTAGAAGGCTAGATTTGATCTCCAGACATAAGGTCTTCCTTCTTTTTCTAAAGAAAGTGAAAAAAGAAGTGCCCTTGAAGACAAATGGTCCTCTTCTATATCTAACCAAATAGGAAATACTGTCCAGGCTTTTGGGGAGAATCTTATTTAACCTAGTCTACCAAAGTTCATGCTTTTAAACAACAGGTATGTCTTGTTCACTTAGTCACGTAAAACACATGGCATGATAGATTATTAGCTGTGGACAATACAAACATAGAAGAGAATCCATGAGCCTAATCTAAGGAAGAAATTCTGTATAGACTTGTATCCCACCACACTAAATGCCTGGTGTTTCATGGATGGGGTTGCCTACCTGAAGGAGGGCCTTCGGCCAGAAAAATCTTAAAGTAACTGATTTAACTAACTCCTTATTTTTTTCATTCTTTTTCTCCCTTCCTTTCTGTCTTTTCTGTGTGCCACTGAAATATTTTTCTTCTCTGTTCATTTAAAACCTAGATGTCATCAAATACTTCCCAGTTGTCAAGTCCTGAGCTAGTAAAGCTCTGTGGGAAGTCTGCACTCTTCCAGTTGGCAAGAGTAGAGTTATACCCATCAGCATCACAATGGGAAGATGTGTATATCTTTTCTCAAAAAACTATGAATTGTGTGAGGTTTTCCCTGGTGTCAAGTCTGGTATTTCCAGAAGCATAAATTAGTAAATACTGAAATAGCAAGATAATTAGACAATGGCAGTGGCCCTACGGACCCAGCTTTTCCTTATACACTTGTCAGTGCACAGTTTCTCAGAGACCACACAGAAAAAGTTATGCTTCTTTTTAGAAAAAATAGCCTTATGACTAGAATGAAAACAATGCTCAGGACAATAGCAAAGACAAGAGACAACAGCATTCTTCTAAATGAGGAGCTGGATACCAGGATTCAAAAAGTAAAGCATTGGTTGTAAGGACTGGAATGTGTATTGGAATTGGGGACTAAAAATAAGAAAAGTAAACTTTGAGATCATCAGGAATCTGTATGAAGAGAGTTGGAAGTTGAAGCACTGTATCAAGTTCTGAAATTGACAGCTGTCAGCACTGATCAAAAATACTAGGTTAGGTTTCCCAAGTCCTAGAAATTCTCTGTGAGTCTTAAATACAATCCTGTAGAGGGTCTCCTCTTTGATACGGATTAATCACTCAAAAACCTTTGAGATTTGGTGTGCAAATACTATTCTTGATGATTGAAAGATGAAGATACATGCTGTATTCAGGTAAATAAAGGTCAAAAAGGTAAATAAGTAGCACCTTACTCGTACAGGGGTTTTGCCTCCCCCCCCTTCTTTTTCTCTTTTCTTCAAAATCACGTCCTATTTCAGTGAGAAAAATGATTCTCTGGGTCTCATCTAGTGGCATCCAGCCATGTATTCTTGCTCAAGGAAAAACTGTCAGAGATTGGAAACACTGAAATAAAAGTATTTCATGCCTTGTTCCATATATAGTAATGCTACTGTCTCACTTTATAGGAACTTACATGCATGGAAGAAAACCTGCCTTACCCTACAGACAGTCCCTCACAGTAGCAAGGGTTTCTGTGTGCTACGTTGTCAGCAGTGCTTATGCAAGGGTGATTACACCTAATGGTGATCAGTGATCCATAAGGGCATTTGGCTATTGCAGCCCTGGGACAGCAAAAAGGCTGGTAATATTTAGTCAGAGACACCAGAAGTTTTTGAAGTGTCCTCTTGCAGGACAACAGCATGTTTTGAGTAGGGCTGTTCTGGAGTAAGGCTGCTGCTGAGTGCAGCTTCACTTTTGGAAGTCAGCATTCAAAGTTATGATGTGACTGCAAAGCTTGTGAACCCCTCATTTGAGGGTTCACAGATGCTTGTCCACAGGAGTGCAGAGTTTGTACTGCAGCTCACAGAAAAAGAGAAGCTGGCAGTGTGATGTCTGCCTGTTGGACACCTTTCTGTGATCTCTCAGCGATTGCTCAGATTCCCACAAGCCTAATTTAATATACAAAATGAATGTTAAAAGCTCTGATTCAAACTGAGAAAAGCATGGCACATGTGCTAAGCACATCCTGCTTGTTGCTGACTCTTGTAGGACTTTTTTTTTCTTTCCAGTTTTGAAGATACCTGGTGTCTGTAATGTTGGACTGCAGTTGGATAAATTAAATGTGAGAGATTCAGCTTAAGTTTTCAGATAGCAATTCAGGACCTGGTTTGGAGCATCCCAAATAAACTGTGTTCATTATCACCTCGAGGGTGTCTTAGGATTGCAAGATCATTTGGAAAACACGTGTGCCGTGCCACTGTAACTCCAAACTGCACATGCTCTGCACTGGAGGGGACCAGACTGCTGTTTCCGTGCTGCTGGCATGGTTTGGCGCGTGGGAGCCTGTCTGCTTCAGCACATCACACTGCTCTGCTCCTCCTTCATCTCTCTGCTACGGGGATTAACCAATTTTATCATCCCTCCCTCCACTCCCCCTTCCCTATGCCTTCCTTTTTGATATTTCACAGCATTTCACAGATGGTGAAGAAATCAAACGCAGAAGTGGGTTAGAAATTCTCAGAATTTTTTAGAAAATAACTTAAGTTTCTAAAATGGTTGGAGCAGCCGCTCTGCAGTCTGAAGCCTGGGAGGCCGGTGCTAATCAGCTCTGCTCAGTTTCTTGCTGTGCCTAAATGCATGGTTTGTCGTTAGCCTTCAGCGCGGAGGCAGGGGAGTGCAGGGAGGCAGTGGTGGGGCTGTGCGTCACCTCCACAAGGCAAGGAGGCCACTTGGAGACTTGAGCTGTAATGGTCAGAGCTTGGGAGATGCTGTGAAGAGCTGCAGCTTCCAGAGGCAGCATCATTAACCCTTTTTGTTTATTGTCTCTGTGGCAATGATGGGTTGATTTCTGCAAAATTGACTTTTTTGGCCCGTGTTGGTTCAGAACAATGGAAACTGTAGTTCGGGGGGATAGGGGGAGCTAAAAGGTTGTAAACACTTTAGTTCCCTAATCTCTAGAACCCCAGTTCTGCATCAAATGTCCAACTGAGCCTTCAGAAACACCACCAGTTGGTTTGCCTGCTGGTGCAGATTGGTATTTAGCTGCTGACATCTGTTCATGTGTGAGAGAGCAAGTGCTTCAGCTCATTCTGCTCTTCAAGGGGAGTCCTGACAAGAAGATCCCCAAATCTGCAAATACCCTTTGATGTCTGGTGGTTTTATGTACCGGAGCAATGGTGGAACGTGGTTTTATTTGTAACAGCATGCACAGGTCTGTGCTGCTTTTTCAATATATAATCTTATGAATGAATTCTGGGAAGAGAGAGGAAATAATCCATTCAAAAGTTGTCTGGTAAACATAAAAGAATAATGCTGGTAATGTTTTTCTTTTCTCCCCCTCTGGTTTTTTTTCTTTAGATTTCTTCAAATACATCACATTCAGTTCCTTCTGATTTAACAAAGCAGTGTGGAGCATCAGCGTTATTTCAGCTGGCAGAGGTAGTATCAAAACACTGGTGACTAATTACCACAGGTGCAGTGGGGCGGAGAAGTTAATGATGGTGACTGCCGAAGTCTGGAAGGCAGAACAGTGCTACACTTATAATTACACTGTTGCTTATGGAAGCATAAATTACTGTGGCTTGGGTGCCACAAGTGAAGATTTCCCTAGATTAACCATCAGGTTGGAGGCTTCTGAGAGTCTGGGCTGCAGCTGAGATGAAGTACCAGTCCCTGGTGGCAAAATTTCACCATTGAAATTGTTTAAATGCTTTGGTTTAGGGTTTGGGGTTTTGACTGGTTTGGCTGGGGGGCTGAAGATGTTGAGAGAGGGCTGGGTTAGTCTGTTACTCGATTAGGGTATTACCTTTACAAATTCCTGTTAAAGATCATTAGTTGCTTTCATTTACTTTTACTTTTCATGCCTATTGTTATTTAAAGTGGTCGATAACCTCTGTTGAAACTCTGCTGTGATACGCTCAGCAGATCCTCCTTTTGGGAACAGTTAAAAGCAATGGCTGCGTGTTGAAATATTGTACTTCCTTTGCTTCTAAGCTTTTTGTAAATTGCAAGTTTATTTAGAACTCACAATACAGAAGTCACTTCTTTGTAGCCACATCTACAGCCCTCTGTGCTATTGGCTTGTGCAGAAGAAGCAAACATATAAAGAAAAAAACAAATACCATTGGTGAGGGGTGTGTGTATTGAGTTGGAAAAATATTATCACTGGCCAGTGAGCTGCATTTTAAAGATTTACCTTTAACTTTTGAAAATCACAGGCTGCGTTTACATTGCAGTGCAGTAAAAAAGTCACACAAGTACCTTGAAGTACCAGGAACCCATCTCAGCATAGTTGTGGGGTTCTCCTCTGCATAATTTAACCTCCTTCCTAATAGACACTGTGCTGTCCGGTCTCCAGTTTTTCCAGTGCTCAACCTAGCTTGACCTGAACCAGATCAGGTGTTTCTACCCTGTGCAGCAAGCATTTAAGAAGTTTACAGTGTTATGCTCATACATATGTTGGTGTAGGAAATATTTTTAGTTTGCAAGAAAATAATGCCCTGCCGATTTGAGAAGTCTAAAATTAACCTAAATAGAACCCAGTGATCTGAGGGCACATCCGTACTGACTGCATGGCCCATGGGCTGAGCTGTGGGATAGGGAAACTCCTGATGTCTGGTTTAAAGCAAGCCTCTTCCGTCTGTTTTTGCTCCAAGTGGCTGTTCGGTTGGCATTTGTTTTAAAAACAAAATAGCAGTAGGAATTCAGCTGAGGGGCGTTGAGAGGGAGACTATGAAGAAGGCAGTATGTCTTCCCAATGGCAACTGCTTTGTGCTGTGAAGGACTATCATAGCAGAGTCAGCGTAGCTTGCAGGTGATTCAAAACTCAGAGGATCTCCCAAGTCAGTGCTGCAGGAACATGGCAGTTTGAAGGCCCTTTTTATAGCCCTCTTTTTAATCTCGCTGTTCCTCAGACAGTGTGAGGGTTTTGGTTTCCATTAACGTTATCTCCAGGAGGAGATAACCATGGCAACAACTGCTGCTTTGCAGTTCCTTGCAAAGTAAGTCTGTGACATGAGAAGAAAGATTTGGAAGGCTTTTTTACTACCTTCCAAACGATTTTGCACATTCAAGTAGAAGAAAATGATTACTGAGATTCAATTAACCTCTTTCACCCTTTCCTTCAAGGCCACTTGGAAAATGGAGGAAAGAATTACGTATAGGGATGCTTGGGAGTTAAAGGGGTATGGATGTGAGATTTCAAGTAACTTGTCTGTGACAATACTGAGAGATAATGTATTGTTCCATTTAGGATATCCTGAAAATCTAGCTAGCAGTGGGTTTCCAGGTTCCTTTTAGGCACTTGAATGATCATGGAAACACCACTGAGATAGTTGGAGTCTTTTTCTATTAGGGAAGTAGAACCCACCAGCCTTATTCTAGCACTTGGCCATCAGCACATTGCATCAGTTTCAGTAGGGCTTCAGTGTGTTTTTCAGTACTGTCCTTCAGCATAGTTTGCTTTCCTGACCTAAGATGCCAGAGAGATTCCCTGTGTACTGTTCCCTTTAATGTTGGTAAGTAACGCTAACAGTTGGTGTTTGTTTCATGGGACTGTTTTTAAACTTGTTCTAGATGTGCCTTGCTTCAGAAGGAGTAAAAGTGAAAGAACCTGGGAAAACAAAAGTGGAAGCACCAGAAGATGCGGGAGGGGAAGTTCTGAAGGAAATGGAAGTAGAACTGGAGAAAGCGATAAAAGACTCCTGTAAAGGAAAAATAGAACAATTAGAGATCAAAAGAATGCAAAACCGGGATGACACAAAAGCTGAGGAATCAGAAACTGCAAAATGCGGAGATTTTACTAGTCTCGCAATGGAGAACAGTCCTTTTGAGAGAAATGATAACACAAAGGATCACATGTGCTGTTCTCCAGAGCTTTCAATAGCTGACATGAATATCTTCGGGCTAAAGCCTGAAAAGATCAAGAAGAAAAAGAAAAAAAATAAGCTGGACCGGCACACAAGTGAGAAATCCACCCCCAAGAAACCCTGTAAAAAGCGGCAGTCCTCCGAGTCGGACATTGAGAGTGTCATGTATACGATTGAAGCCGTTGCGAAGGGGGACTGGGGTGCTGAGAGACTCGCGGATACTCCCCGCAAAAAACCCCGCCCTGTGTCAAATGTGAAGGAAAGCATGTTGGATACAAAATCACCAAAGAAAAAAGTGAAGTCAAAAGACAAGAAAACATCAAAGGAGAAACCCACGGAGACCACCAAAGAGTCAAAGCCTCCCGATTTCCTTAGTATTGCAGCCAGCAAGGAAGAACCGTGTGAGGCTTCTGATAACATTAAAGTGGAACCACTGACCCCAACAGAGGAGGTGGTACCCCAAAGCTTACCAGAACAGGTCAAAACTGAGGACAGTGACTGTGTTAAAAAGATAGAAACCTGTGGCTCCAGGAAATCAGAGAGATCTTGCAAAGGTGCTCTTTATAAAACTCTGGTGTCAGAGGGCATGCTCACATCTCTGCGTGCTAACGTGGACAGAGGTGGGTGGCTTTGAGTGTTTTATTTACAGCATGAACCGCAAAAGCCCGCCTGGAGTGGGAGGAAAAGCAAAAGTCTGTGTTTGAAGTTGGAGTTTGATCAACGTGTGATGGGAATGCTGTTTCTGGTCACCCAAGATGCTGGGGGCAGGTGGAGGGGAAGGACTTTGTGGTCCAGGGCAGGCCTTCTGGAGTCCTGACGTCTCTGTTCCTGCTTACCTCCCAAACTCTTAACCTCTCCCTTTTTGTCTTTCATGGCCTGTGATGTAGCTTTTTGACTGAAGGCTTTGTTGTTTAATTTGTCAGCCTGCTGATAGATGTATGCAGGACATGTGTGGTATGCAACCCCGAAAAAATAGCTTGTTTCTATATAAACAACTTGTGGTTGTGAGCCATAGGTCTTGGTCCTACACGAGGCAAATGGGTTGTGCTTTTGGTTTGGTTGGTTTCCTGTAGGTGGTGAGCAAAAACCCTTTACCTTGTGGAAGGATAAATTTGAGATGATTTCTGGAAGCTTTCAGTGGGATGTCTTGAAATGTAATTTCCCAATTAGTAGATGTGTAATTAGAACAGTCAGAAAAGATGTTTGTAGTTCAAGAAGGTTTTTTACTGTATATCTACTTAGCTTTTTCTTCTCCTTTATACCTTGAGAGATCCTGATGTTTGAGGTGGGGGGGGGGAGGAGAAGAATAGTTGCCAATATCATTATTATCTGGTTTAAAATAAATAAATAAATGTTTTGTAACCCCTTCAAAACATTCAAGCACCATAGGTTGCCATACTGAATGGGTACCCAAGTTCGTTCTTGAGCCACTTTGTTCTGGCACATTTTTCTAAAGATGAGAAACAATTTTCTGCCTTCATCCCAGGAAAAAGAAGCTCAGGAAAAGGCAACTCCTCAGATCATGAAGGATGCTGGAGTGAAGAAAACTGGGCTTTTTCCCAAAGTGGGACGAGTGGGAACAAAAAACTGAAAAGGCCTAGGCCAAAGGAAGAGTTTGTTTTTGGGTAAGTTGCAATCTAACACTGTTCAAAGTTTTAGTTAGGCCAGCCTGGAAGCGTAAGAATGAATCCTCCTCACTGCAGCTGAATGATCTGCATGCAGCACCCAAATAATCACAATTAGGCAGAATTCTTGAAAATTACAAACCCTGCTGGGCTGAATCATGCTCTAGATACGCATTGTTCGTATAGCAAAGTAATTCCTTTGAGATCTTCCCTGGTTTACACTACTGTAAGCAGATTTGAATGATATTTGCTCACTTTAGGAGGGTGGGGGAAACAAAGGTGCAGTATTTACCCATTCAGGAGATGGTGAAGAGGGTTGCTTACATTTTCAGAGCACTTCGAAAGCAGTATTTAAACTTCTCTGTAGGTGTTAAATCATCATAAACAGAATTAGACTAGAAAGAACAGATCTCTGCCTGCTTGGAGAGATTGATTATAGAGGAAGAATAAACAATGTTCTAATAGTAGCAAATAATTATGATAAATATATCATTTTTCCATTGTAAAGAAAATTTATTTAAACCATTCATGTACACAGGGAATAAATTAAATATATCAGAAGAATAATTAATGATTACAAATGCATTAAAATTTAGCACACAGAATTACTTTTCCTAGTACATGAATAACAGTTTTCGTCAGAGTATTACAGATTTATTTAACTACAGGCGTAGTTGTTAAATCTGCTTAACCATTCATACTTACTGCAAGTTCTTGAATACTTCCAATTATCTAAATTCAGAGGATGAAAATGAATTACAAATGAGTAGATTTTTCACACTTCATGCTTAAAATCGTAATGTTTCTGTTGTGCAGGCTTGTGGTAGCCTTTTTTATAACCTAGTCTATGTGAAATTTAGTTGCAGCTCAATTTACAGCAAAAATATTAAATTTATTAAAATCTCCAAGTCTTACTTGCTTGAAATAGTCAAGAAAAAAAAAACTCATGGAACACTTCTTGTATTTTCATTGTATACAAGTTCTGTAAATATTCTTTTAATTTAAATTGAAAGATTGAAAACTTTTCACACATAATGGTGTGAAAACTGAGTATCTCTCCTAGCCAAAAAATAATGTGTTTATAAATTATTTATTCAGAATAGCTCAGAAAATTGTGTAAATAATTCAGTTGACAAATGCTGTGCTACCATCATTAGCTGGCTGAATGGGGAAAATACAATCTTGCTTCTTGATTAAGTCATGTCATCACTATTTGATAGTGATTAAATGGTGTTAATCAACACTATTTAGTGAACTCTGTGAAGGCAGAATCAGTGATTTGCAGAGGAGCGTAAGTGCTATAGGTATCCGTTACCCCTGTTCATTGCACTGTGTGATCTTCTGGCTACTTGAAGAGCCATTTTTACCTCTACCTGCTCCTCTTAACTTTTCCTTCTCCCTTTAGCATCACCTTTCTGCCTCATTTCTTTGTCCCTGTAGTTGGGGTGGGGGTGATCACACCTTTGGAATTAATGTCTTTCTCCCTGTGTCCTCTTACCTTCTCCATCAGTAGTTGCCCACTCTTCCCTGATGGCCCTTGTCAGGTGTGCTTGACATGCACAGCCGCTCCTTTGCCAAGCAATGCTCTGCCTCCGTGTATCTCCTGGCAGGACTAGTCTGTGCAGTATGAAGACCTCAGCTCAGCTACATGTGTCAAACCAGGCTCATGAGATGCTCTGAACATTCATGACAATGTGAATTTTTTTTTTCACTAATTAATACTGAGATAGTGAGGGGGGCACTCTGCACTGCCCCCATGTCACGCCAGCTAGAAATTACTAGCCAGGATGGCAGCTCCTCTGCTTTCAGGGTTGGACCTTCCTAATTAGCCCTTCATATGCCCTTGGGGCAAGTGGCAACAGGCAGTGGGAGAAGAGCTGGAGCAGAGGATGGAATTGCATGAGAGTTGTCAGGACACAAAATCAGCTTGTTTTGTGGTTGTCACGGAACATCCACATGGAAGAGGAAGGTAGCAGTACCAAACACCACTAATCTCAGGTATCTGTGTGGTTTCAAAGCAAAACAAACCATGCCAACCACAAACAAACAAACAAAAAAACCCACAAACCAACCCCGTCATGCACATAGTCTGCCAAGAGCCAAGGCTCTATTTTAAGGTAGAAGATTGCTTACTGAAAGAACTAATGACTACAGAGATAAAATGAGGTATCATTCTGTCTACCAAAGCTTTCAGAATGCAGTTTGTTTGAAGTGCTGCTTCAGAAAGCAGAGAGAAATGCCATGTTTCTCGTGATACTTCGAAGTGTACAGTGTGTAAGGGCCATCCCTCTAACAGTTATAACAACTTTTGTCAAGTTCAGGTTTTCCATAGCAAACAGAATAAAAGACTAGTAGCAAATGTCGCCATTCCCCTGTCATTGATGGTGCTATTTATAATCTGCCTAGCTGTGCACACTGCCTTTTATTACAACACAGTTCCTTCCTATGCTCCTGCCTGGCTGCAAAAATTTGCTGGAACAAAAAAAAATTTGCTTATGCAAGCCAGTGTAGTCGTTACAGCCAGAAATTCCATGCCATTCTGTTTGAGTGGTTTGTTTTCATCTGGCTATTAGGAACAACGGTACCCTGTCTATGGATTTCTTGAGCTGTAGGTGATCCAGTTACAGTCGATCAGTTTGGGTTGAAGTATGAGGGATGTTGGGTTTCATGAAAGCATGAGCTAGTTGCATTTTTCGTCTTGCAACAATGAAATATGAGGGGAGAAAATATAACCCCCCCGAACAAATACAAAGCTGATTGCCACCCCAAAGCATCTGGCTTTAGAATATCCCCAGGAGATTGAATAGTTTGACATTTTTCTTCTGGTTTGAATTGTTGTTTTCATTCCCGTGTAAGGACTTTTATATGAAGTTATTTTATTGGTTTGGTTATTTGTTGTGGTTTTATTGTCTTTTTTCATTCCCCTCACAGAACAGACAAATCTCCTTTATGAGTCTGTGTAGCAATCAGAGCTAAATGTCACCAGTATGACATTGATTTATTTTTTCTAATTTTAATATATGCAACCAATGTAATCAGTTTGTACTGAGTTACAAAAGCAGAAGCTAGAGTGTACATTCTCATCCCAAAGTTGGATTAATATATACTAGTTTGATGTTTACAGTGTGTGTGCGCTTACCTCTTTCCCCTTTTTAGCTTAGCAAAGTTGGAAGAAGAATTTGAAAAGAAATTCAACAGCCTCCCTCAATACAGTCCTATTACCTTTGACAGGAAAAATTCATCTGTTCCAAGAAAAAAGAGGAAGGTTGGAAGTGGCTCATCCGAACATCCAAAATCCAACAAAGGTAAATTACCATGTGCAATAGATTCTGAAGCAACAGCAGTGCTGTGACAAGCACAGGAATTATACATTCTTACTTTACTGCTATATGTGGAAAGCATGAATTAAAGGCAAAAAGTGCTCGCACTGAAGTTAGCTGGTTCTCACCTGGGTTAGTTTTCAGGGTGTAGTCATGATTTTCACACAGAGTAGAACTAGTTGGAGTTTGTGCATGAAATATAGTTCTCATAGCAAACTAATTTATCAAATAAGGTGAATATTTGTGAAGTAAGTGAATTTGACAAGTTTTTCGAGGAGAAAATGAGGGGAAAATGGCAGATGATCAGAAGGTCACATTTTGACATTTTTCAAAGCATAGTTTTTTGCTAGTTTGCATTTCACTGTAATTTTAGGCTCGTCAAATTAAAGCATGATACCAGAGCTCTCTGAATGAAACATTTTGATTTTTCATCAAGATTTTAACCACCATAAGCTTGGAGCAAAAGTGTCCTGACATGATAGAGAAAGTTAGTGAACAGGACAGCCAGTTCCATACCCAGCTCTGTTTCTGAGGCTCTTGGGGGAACTCATGACACATTTGGCTGTTTTATATACAACCAACCTGTGACACAGAGGTGGTAGAGAAGTGAGAATGTCGTAGGGAAAACTACTTTTAGACTGTGGCAGAAATACTGATGTATACATCCAGTACAGAAGCAGCACAAAATGAAGGAATGACGTACCAGTAATTCTACAAGACAAAAGGATGCTCAAAAGAACCCTCATTATGCACAGTTCACAATGTGAAGCTGGTTTCCTTTTCTGCTACTGTGGTAGTTTCACTGACTGGCAGGATTTCAGATCTAATATGGCTGTTTTAGCCAGGTGACCCTGGATTAGATCTATGCCTTTTGATTGCCTCACAAATAATCACATTATAGTATGCAGGACTGAGCAGCTGTTCTTTTCTAGTGCATGCCAATTTTGGTATTGATTTTTGTATTTATATAATTAGATGTGGAACAGTCACTTTTGCAAAATTAGGCTTGTGCTAATACCAAATGAGTTCTGACTTCAGATACCTTTCATGTTTTTTTATGGTATGTATTCTTCTTCAGTGAGCGTGAATGAATTGCTTTACAGTATGACAATACAATGGTTAATTAAGCAACATCTGTTGGGAACAAGATCTCCTAATCTCCCGTGATCTGGCAGTTGAAGTTGTTGTAGCAGCTCTTTGGGTTTCTTGCTGCAGTATTTACCTGTTCAAGTGTCTGTATTTCTACGGATCTTACAGGCCCTACATTCTTTGGGAATGGTACACTAGAATGGTGCCTCAGTCAGGTATCCCAGAACTGCATTCTTCTTTTGGCTAGGTTTGTATGCAAGAGCTTAATTTTTATCTTTGTTTCCATCACTTGAAAAGCTTTGGAATATATTTGGCCATGTCTCAAGGGAAGGTCAGAAACATAACTGCAGGCAGGTTCCAAGCCTGATATAAGTCGTTTTGGCACAGCCCTGCAGAGGAGGCCATGAGCATTTGCCTCTAGCTAACAACAAGGGCTCTTCAAAATAAGCCAACTGATTTTGCACTGGAGCAGATGGTGGAAAAGTTCATGTGACTGTTTACCAACGGAGTTGTGGGGTTGCAACAAGCAGCCCCAGGGCAGCAATATCTGATAGCGACATGCTGTTTCTGATAGTGAACATCTCCTGGCAGCCCTGAACTAAATCCAGATGGAGCTAGTGATACCTGCTCCTAATTTCAGTAAATGTTGAATTCACTCAAGTTAGCTGGGCAAGCTGTTAGCTTGTGTCAGTCGTTCCAGTTCCTTCGAGAGTGAAGTTCAGCTCTCAGGAGGTAGCCGAAAAGATTTCAGACATACAATTTTTCTTTTGGAAAAGAAAGATTGCTAAAAAGTAAATATTCCATGGCAGTGGGTCAATTTTAATTTGGTTTCATTTGTAGGATGTTTAAAATTAGGATGTGAGATGTGGATTTGAAATGATCAGAACCAAATTACCTACAAGCAAGCTTACTAGCTTAGTAGGGAGACTGTTCCAGCTGCGCCAAACATTCATTAAGCTGAATCCTCAGTTTAATTTGTGGTGTACTGACAGGCCATTCAGCCTCGTCATGCTCTTGGCTTGCCTGTGAACTGTGATGAGTCCAAAGACAGTTAGAGAATACTGACCTCCAAAGGTGTTACACATACTAGGCTTCTGCAAGTACTGCAGGAAATGAAAATATTCTTCAAAATGATGCAGTTTGGAATGGTTCTGGGTTTTTTTAATTTTCATTGGGTTTTACACCACCAGATTTAAAAAAAAAAAAAAAAAGAAATCTTATTTTTTCAATGTGATGAGCATGAACCATGAAGGGTCAATGTAGTCTTATGCGTGTGATCATGTTGGGATGTAGGAGAATACATTGCCCTGCATTAACTGTGTCATGCGGAGTTTTTGCTGCTTTGCTCTTCCTTGGGGTTGTCTCTGTCTGTGACGTAATTTGAAGAAATACCCATCACAAATAGTGCCTTCTAGTGATTGGGGCCTCTGGGTGTTTCCAAACAACAGATAATAATCACTAGGTAGGTTTAGTAAACACTTTAAAATCACTCACTGCTTTTTCTGAATGAGCATATGCAGGATCACAGACTTCCAGGCACTCTCAGTTCTCAAAGACTTAATTTTTGCAGTCTACAGATCAGTGCCTGCTGAAATATATTTACAATCTGGAAAACAGGTTGGAGTGCTGCACACTAAAACTGCCCCAGGATGTTAGGTCAATAAAAATGGGAAATACTTTTGTTCGTTGGTTTGGGGTTTTTTTCCCTCACCCACATCTAGGGCTGTATCCCTTAATATGTTTTATTTTGGAGTAACTGGTGCCAGATTGATTTTCTGTCAAATATCATTAACCTATGTGTACAAGAGGCCTGATCTACTAAGTAACTCAGCCAAGATTGTCAGGAAATTTTCCTACTTCTAAGTGGAAATTGAGTGAGTCAGTGCTACATTGACTACTCCCATTGTGCTTGTCATATCCAGTCCTCACTTCAGCCAGTTCCTTTCATGTAAAACCACGTGAAGTAGCTTGTAACACAGAAGCTGTTTCAAATCCACATGTATAAGCGAAAATTTGAACTTTCTTAAATGAGAGACAGTTTTTTCCCCAGAGCTTTCCAAATCATGCAAATCCTGCTCCCACTGAAAGTAATGGGGGTCTTTCTTCAGTGGGAGCAGGATTGAGCAAGCCTCAATGCTTTGGCAAGTTCTACCTCAAGCATTTTGAACTGGGAGTGTGCATTTACAATAATAATGTCACAAAATGGCTGCAGAACACAGCTATACTGAATTAGTGCAGATGGCCTGCTCCGACATTTGCTGGAGCTGTGACTGATTTCTTTTTTTTTTCCTTCTTTCCAATGGCATATGTGCCAAAACATCCCACCACACAGAAGTCATCAGTCTGCAGTGAGTCACTAATGCAGTTTTGTATGCAAAAATGAGCAACAGGCATAGTCATTATTTCTGCCTTGTGCTGTGAAGAAATGCTCACTTATGCACTAAGCACTTCACTAAAGCTTTCATTTTGGGAAGGCAAGGAGAGGAATGCATAGTGTGCTTTTATTTGGGAAAGGGTTTGTCTAGAGTTATTTTTCTGTCTGTGGCCTCTAGGACTAGAAAAGCATCAGCTTAAAACGGATGCTGCTTTATGGCATTCCTCTCAGTCTTTAGCTCGGGGTTTTTTTGGCTTGGTTCAAAGCATTCAGATGCCTGGAGATCACATGCCATAATGTTCCAAAGATCGTGACCTGAAAATACAGCCTTTTCCTCCTGAGAGTTGCAGAAATGCACAGACAAATCTGCTTGTCCTGGTTTTCTTACGATCAGGTTGAAGTGTTCTCTGTTTGATCTGGCCCTTTAAAATAGGGAACTTTGTGAGAGCAGAGGGAGCATGTGCCCAGGAATATGGAGGAAATGTAGTTATGGTTCATTATGTATGGTGGGTTCATTTTCTTGCCTGCTACTTCACCAAGCAGCTGTCACTGGCTGTAGCAAGTTATTCCCAGGAGGAAATCCCTACCGCCCTCAGCGAGCACAATGGACAAGCCAGGGATTAGCAGGTGGTTAAATCCTGTGGCAACTGCTAAAGTGCTAGAAAAAGGAAGAGCCATAGAGTATTTCCAATAGAAAATGATGAGCAGGAGAAAAGGACTTCACTTTGCACTTGCAGGTGGCTCTATAGCATTAGCAAGTGAACTAACATTAAAAGGTTTTTTAGCTTTTTATTAGGAAATCACATGCAGGGTCCCCTGCCTAATAGCAAGCCTTGTAGGTTAGTTAGGTGTTTCAGGCACAGATTTTCTCTGGATTGAATGCTGACAAGTGGCATTTGTTCACAGTCTTTGTTCACTTGCCTCCTGTGCCCATTAAACAGGTGTAGCTCAGCCATCCATCCTGTAAACTCCTGCATGGGTCAGTGTGCCTAAACTATGCCCCAGGGTCACCTGCTAGTGAGAGCCTGGAAAAGGGGTATGAACTCTATCCCAGCCAAAACCAGCACATGATGTCAGGAATGC